TTTTTTTTTTGCACCGCTTGGGGCGGCAAAAACCCTGGAGCCGGCCCTGGTATTTGCACATGACTAACCTTAGACCTGAAGACGCTGCCGAGTATTTCTGCATGTTGGACGCAGTATGCAGAAGGCGTTGGAGCTCAGACAAGAATGGTTTTTACTGCAGAATATTTCTGCTGGGGAAGCTGATAGCCTGAACAGTAGAAAATCCCAAAGGAAACCGGCTCAGACAATCCACTCGGCTTTAACAATAGTAACAGGTTACCTGCTGCCATCCACTTCTTTCCCTGACCCTGGATCCTCGGAGTCCTTCCCCTAGTGCCACCCTTCCCCAGTCCCCTTGTGGCAACCTCATTCCTCCAGCTCTATCCACTCTAAGTCTCCAAGAGACAACAGAAACCAAAGCCTCTCACCAGGCCTTGTAGGGACTTCTTCCAAAGGAGCTGATCTGTGCTTTAAAATGGGGGCAGAGGGAGGTCTTGGAAGATGCATGGGGATGTGTCCAACATGGGAGAGGGGATAGAGAGAACATGCAATGTGTTAGTGGGTTTCCTGAACAAGAGGGCAAGGACTGGGGGGCTTAGACATATTGGATGTGACCTGTGCAGGCATGCAGGGCCTCCATCTACCTAGTTATCCTTAATGGACTCACATCCATGCTCCGGCCGGGTGGTGCTGCCTCACACCAGCTCCAACCCCTGCATTGATCCAGGTCCATTCTCTCTCTCTCACCCATGGCAGCTGTGGCACGGCGCAGAGCTGACCGAGTGGGTGGGGCTCACCTCCCGGCCGGAGGCCGACCATCACGTCAGCCCAGGCTCCGAGTGCAGCGAGGCTGGGTGGGGTCGGACCGGAGCGAACACCACCACTGACAGGCTGCAGGAGGTGGTGAGGGACGGCACATGCAGAGAACAGTGCTGGCATTACGACTAGGGTTGCCAATTTTGGTTGGGCATATTTCTGGAGGTTTCATCTTCTGACATAATCTTTAATTCAAGATTAATCTTTAATTCCTGGAGACTCCAGGACAATCCTGGAGGGCTGGCAACCCTAATTATGACCCCACCACCATGCTGTGGGCCAGCAACCCCCACGCCAAGAAATCAGGGTTCCAGGTAAATATCCCCCCACCCAGAGCCGCCAGCCAGCAGCAAGCTGCTCCAGGGCAAGGAGCTGATGGAAACCACCATGGCCGTGCCCCTCCCATGCTGCACTGCCCCAAGAGGGGAGCCCCTGGGGCATCATGGGAGATGCAGCCCAGCCAGGGATCCCGACATCTAGGACATCTCTGGAGAGGTATCGCCAGTGTTCGTGCCCTTCTGCAAGGCGCTGGTGGAAACGGGCTGAAATTTAACATGGGCTCACGCAAATAGGGACAAGTAAGAAGAAAATTCCTGCTCTGAGCTGGGGGCTCATCAGCTGGAAGCGACAGAGGAGGAGGGAGACTTTGGTGTGTCAGTGGATTGCAGGATGACCATGGGCCACAAACGGGATGTGTCCGGGAGAAAGGCCAATACGGTTCTGGGATGGAGCAGCCGAGGTGTCTCCAGTAGAGAGGGAGGGTTTAATGCCAGAGGAGAAGGCACCGGGCAGAGCTCAGCTGGAATCCGGTGCAGAGTTCTGGGCAGCCCTGTCCCAGAAAGAGGAATCTCAGCTGGAGCAGGTGCCGAGAAGGGCTGGTGGGACAATCAGGGAAATGGAGAGTCAGTCTGACCAGAGGGGAATAAAACACCTGGGCTAGGTTAGCCTAAAACACAGGCTGGGCGGGGTCTGATTGCTCTACAGATACATCAGGAGCGGGGGGAACACCAGGGAGGGAGACGAGCTGTTGAAACTAAAGGACAAATCAAATGGGGATAAATGGGGCAGGGATCAATGGAGGCTGGAGATGAAGAGAAGGTTTCTAACCATCAGAGGGGGAAGGTTCTGGAACAACCTCCAATGGGAGCAGTTGCGGGGGAGGGGAACAACCTAACAAGGATACAGACAGAGCTTGATAAGTTTATGGATGGGATGATATGACAGGGCTTCCTGAGACATGAGGAACTGGATTCCATGACCCAGTAGGAGCCTTCCAGTCCTGTGTTCCCACAAGAAGGAATAGGGGCATGAAATACAGCTCCCATGCTGCACCATGACCAGAAATGTTTAGGCTTTGATTTTTAACAACATGTTTCAGGGAAAATGTTGAAAATGGAGAAATGCCCCACGCCCACATTTTATGAGCATCTCTATTGTTTGCCTTCCCTGGAGGATCTTCAGGTGACCTCAACTCCAAGGCTACCCAACAGACAGGGCCCTGGGTGAAATCCAGGCCCCATAGACGTGGATGGGAGCTTCGCTGTTGATGTCCATAGGGGCAGGATCTCACTGGAGCGGAGGGAGTGTCAGTGTTCCCGTCCCGCAGGAAATGGCAACATTTCAATCTTTGTTTTCAAAGAAAAGTTGAGATGTCAACATTTTTGCCAGAATGGAAATTCCAAAAGCAGGTTTGACTCAGAAATGTCTAAATGTTTCATTGCAACATTTTCAATCAAAATGAAACATGCTGAGATGTGAACAGATTGAAACGTTTCCTTCCATGTGAACAAATTGGAGAGAGTCCAGAGGAGAGAAACAACAAATAAATGATCAGAGGTTTAGAACGGCTGACCTTGGGAGGAAAGGCTGAAAGAACTGGACATGTTGGGCTAGAAAAGCTGAAGCTGAAGGGGGGACATGATAACTGTCTTCAAATATGTTAAGGGCTGTTATAAAGAGGACATTGATCAAATGTTCTCCATGTCCACTGAAGACGGAACAAGAAGTAATGGGCTTAATCTGCAGCAAGGAAGATTAAGGTTGTACATTATGAAAAACTTTCCAATTCTAAGGATAGTTAACCTCTGGAACAGGTTAACTAGGGAGGTTGTGGAATCCCAGTCACTGGAGGTGTTCAAGTCCAGGTTGGACATACACCTGTCAGGGACGGTCTAGGTTTATTTGGTCCAGCCTCAGTGCAGAGGGTTAGACTAGATGACCTCTCAAGATCCCTTCCAGCTCGACTTTTCTATGATTCTAAAATTTTGGTTTGTTGAGTTTACCCAAAATGCTTCATTTCGAGCGAGTTCAACATTAAGCTGTAGTTCCTTATCAGTGCATTGCCTTCTGGCAGGGCACGTGCAGAAATTTAACGTTGACCCCTTTTGCAGGGGCACGATCTGTATCCCGCCCTGGCTCCGGCAGGACCTCGCTGTCCTCCCCGCAGCCCCGGGGCTGGGAGGATCTTGCTCTCCCTGCCACTGCGGCCTGGAAAAGCTCTGTGCCTCCGACGATTATGTGTGTGTGTGTGTGGGGGGGTGCCCCTGCTTAACCCCCTTGTGCACACCCGTCTTCTGGGACCTGTAGTTCAGGCCTCTATTTTCCCTTATGTAGTCCCTGCCTGGACTACATCTCCCACAATGCACTGAGTCTTGTGATTCCCATGATGCTCCAAACAGCTCAATCAGAAGCAAATCTGAGTTGCATTATGGGAAATGTAGCCCTCCAGGGAGCCAAGTCCTTACGAGAGAATTGAGACCTGAACTACAACTCCCAAAGCCAATGCACAGGTAGGAAAAATCAGTTTAACACATTGTTGAACTTATTCCAAACTAAATGTTTCAGATCATTTAAAAAAAATGAAATATTCTGATTTGGGTGGAATGGACCCAAGATTAGATATTTCATTTCAATTTTCCCCATGGAAAATTAAAAATTCATGGCAAAATCAATTTTTTTCTGTGGAAAATTTCAATTTTGTATAAACTGCCTTTTTCACAGGTACCTCATTTTGCCCAGCTCTAGATTTTTCTCTCTGCCCATCCATTTCCAGGCTGGTTCTGTTTGGCGGAAAGAGCTGGGCTTTCAGCAGCAGAGAATACCTGTCCCAGATGCAATGTGAGATCTCAGCAGGACAGGCCGGACTGGGTAATATCAATCACTGATGTTATTCTCCTTATTGGCAGGGCGATGCCAGCGGGCCCCTGGTTTCTCTATGGAGAGAGATGAATGGAGAGGTGTGTATAGGGATGGGGGGATGGATGAAGGAGTGCGTATGGAGATGGATGGGTGTGTAGGGCGATGGATGGGTAGATGGATTGATGCATACATGGATGGATGGAGGGGTGTGTATGGAGATGGATGGAAGGATATGTACAGGAATGGAGGGGGTATATGGGGATGGATGGATGGATGAAAGGATGTGTAGAAGGATGGACAGATGGGTGTGTAGGAGGGAGGAATGGGAGATGGATTGAACAGTGTGTATGGGGGTGGATAGATACATGGATAGATAGCATAGGTGCCAGAGATGGGGGCCAGAGGGACATTGTCCCCCCACTTTGAGACCCTGAACTTGGCAGGGGCTCAACGAGCCCCCCCCACCTTATCCCCGACTGGTGCTAGGTGTTGTAACGCTGGCGCCATCCCTGCTAGCATGACAGAGGAACACATGGGCCAAATTTGAATGGCATGGCCACCCTGTGTGCCACGTAGCAACACCACCCACCCCAGAAGGGCACCTATTCAAATGTGGCCTGGCTGCCCCACTGTCCTGACAGGAGGGTGGGTGGGTGGGCCAAATCTGAGTGCGTGGCATGGGGACCTGGCACTTGGTCCCGGCACTTCTGCAGTCCTGCCAGCACCCCACTGGATGGACTACAAGTGTCTGAAACCCTCCATTATCCCTCCTCCATTCTGATTTTGCAGAGCGATTCTGGAGGCCCCCTGGTTTACAAGGGGAAGGCCCAGGGCATCGTCGCCTATGGAAATGGCAAAGCACGGCCCCCTCAGGTATTCACCAGAATTTCCAGCTTCTTGCCTGGGACAGAGGCGACGCTGGAGGAATTACAGCATTAGGGGAGAGAGCTGGGTTCCGCCTCAGGCGTTATTTCACACGGCAGATGTTTTGGATGAATTATTTCCCCAGCTTTGCTTAAGCAAAAGGCTAGCAATAGTGTCTCAGTATAACCCTGCCCTTCCCCTAAACCATAGCACTAGGGGGCGCTGTGCTGCAGAGAGAGGGGCAGGGGGGGCTCCCTAGGGGGCACGCTCCCCTCATAGTCAGTG